TTTTTTGCGGTACGCGGGCCTCTCACTGCTGTGGCCTCTCCTGTTGCGGAGCACAGGCTCCGGACGCGCAGGCTCAGCGGCCATGGCTCACAGGCCCAGCCGCTCCATGGCATGTGGGATCCTCCCAGGCCGGGGCACGAACCCGTGTCCCCTGCATCGGCAGGCAGACTCTCAACCACTGCGCCACCAGGGAAGCCCTAAATTTTCTTTTTTAAAAAATATTTATTATTTATTTGGCTGCACCAGGTGTGCGTGCTTCTCATTGCGGTGGCTTCTCGGGTTTCTCACTGTGGTGGCTTCTCTTGCTGTGGAGCATGGGCTCTAGGCGGGCTGGCTTCAGTAGTTGAGGCTCGCGAGCTCTAGAGCGCAGGCTCAGTAGTTGTGGCGCATGGGCTTAGTCGCTCCGCGGCATGTGGGATCTTCCCGGACCAGGGATTGAACCCATGTCCCCTGTATTGGCAGGCAGATTCCCAACCATTGCACCACCAGGGAAGTCCCTGCACGGGATCTTTAGTTGAAGCATGTGAACTCTTAGTTGAGGCATGTGGGATCTAGTTCCCTGACCAGGGATGGAACCCGGGCCCCCTGCATTGGGAGACCAGACTCTTAGCCACTGGACCACCTGGGAAGTCCCAATTTTAATTTTCAAAAATTAAAACTGTAATATCAGTTATGCTTTTTCATGGCTCCATCGCAAGATTCTGCCTTATCTGGGGAGGGGGTCACTAGTCTGAACTCCCACTGATGCCTAGGACTGGGGTACTCAGAGCCACAGTGCTCTTGGGCGGGTCACACCTGCAAGCACGGCAGAGATCCAAGTCCTGCGTGATGCCTGGGAGGTATGGCTGAGCTCCGTGGCCCAGCCACGTCAACTCAGGAGTTAAAAATGCCAACTCACCATAACCACCCAGGGCTCGTGGAATTGGAGATGGTGCCAGTCTGGAGCTCAAGCAACCACAGGGCAAGGAGCCAGGGCCCAGACTCGATTTGGAGCTGCAAGATGAGACCACTGTCAGAGTCCGGCAGGGAACGCCGACAAGCCGCTCAGTGCTTCAGGGACAGTGGCCAAACATCGCAATAATGGGACCAGAACTTCACTGTCTCCAACACATGGTCTGTGGTCCATCTGGAGTGTTAAAATTCTGATTTAGAGATTTATTTTTATGAGTGTCTTACAAAAGTATACAAATCCCACTCCACATTTATTTATCTATTCAGTGGGTCACCTTTATCAGGGTGAAAGTGGAAACTGCTCTAGAAAATGTTAACCATGATGTTATTAAGCAAAAAACCTGGGGGCAGCATCAGATGAGGAAACCAAGCACAGCTAGAGAATGTCTTACCTGTTCAGCAATATCTTCACCTTTGATCCTCAGAAGAGCTGCGTGAGGTTGGTATCATTACCCCTAGTTTATAGGTAGGGCTCTCAGAACCCTAAGGCTTACAAGCAGAAAAGGCTAGAAATGGAAGAACGGTCACACAGCTGGCAATGGCAAGGCCAGGACTCTGAGATGTGCGTGGCTCTCAAGCCCCTGGTCTTTCACTACAATACGCCATCTTCCCCAACATGTAGCCATACAAGCAAAAGTAAAATTGCGCACAAGAGAGATCAGCATCACTAAAATGTTTTCCAGGTTTTCCTTGCAGAATTCCAAGTTCCTAACAAGACCTAGAAGGCCCTTCTACTGCAGGCCCATTTCTTGGCCCTTTTCCCCTGGCTCCCTGTGCTTCAGCCACAGTGTACTAGAAGTTCCTTGAAGGATTTGTGCTCCTTCCCACCCCAGGGCCTTTGCACATGCTGTTCCCTCTGCTAGTCTCTGCTTTTCCTTAAAGTCTTGGCTTTCTCTGTTTTCTCAGGGAAGCCCGTCCTGATTTGGAGTCGGTCAGGCCGACATGTCATTTGTCTCAGAGTGCCCTACTTCTCCTGTACAGCACTTTCACTGTGCTTCTCCTTCAAGGCTCCGAGTCACCAGGCCACGGGTTCAGGGCCTGAGCTCCTGAGGTTTCTAATTTCTACAGGAGGTTTTAAGTGTGTACATGAGGTTGTGTGTGATTGGAGCTCAGTCTCCTTCCTTCTGTGGGACCTAAGTTCCTTATCAGTAAAACAGGGCCTGCAACTTTCTATAAATCAGTGGTTGATGTCCGTGAACTCTCAAGTCTCATATTATCGTCTGTACGTAGGAGGTTGCCTCTCAGCCACCCAAACTGACAAGCTCTTAGGGCATTCTCAAGTGTTTAATTAATTTATATTCTGGGTGGAACGTTGAGATTTCCCTGTCTCAAAGTGGTCCCAAGGACAGGCGACGGGCATTCTCTACAGCAGAATGGTGGCCTTCCTGGCCTTTCCTAGGCCCTACCAGCCCCTTCCCCAGCTCTGCCATCCAGCGCTGTCCCTACCCCACGGGGCTTTCCAATCTTTTCTACCTTCCTTCGTCCGATCCTTGAAGGCTTTCAGGCCTACTGCCTTGTCACTGGCTCTTGGGGTCATGAGGAGGCGACCAGCCAGTTAATATTCCATGACACCAAATTTACTCCATTTTGTGGGCTGTCTTCATTCTGAAGCTGTCTCATTCCTCCTTTTCTTGGTTTTGACCTATTCTTTTCTGAAGTTATGGTAAAAATAACTGTGTGTGTGTGTGTTGTTATAAGTTTTTCCTTGGAGAAATCTGAAACCCCATCTTCTACTGCTGTGGAAAACACAACAGTCTGAGAACTCGTACAGGGTGAAGAGCACGTTCCTAAGAGGCCAGCGTGTCTGCTCCAGACCAGGCCTGGGGGTTCCTCTCCAGGCCAGCATCTCTTCCCCTCTTTCCCCACTTCACAGACCTTGAGTCCTACTCAGCTAGCAGAAGTTTCTGGGGGCCCAAGGAGGCTGAGGTCTCTGGGCCCCAGCGGGGCCTTGCCTGCCTTTCCCTCTTGGCCTCTCCGGGTAAATGCACTCATTCCACACTCCAGCAAGAGGTCACCTTCCCGGTAAGCGCTCCCGGCCCAGCACTGCACCATCTCCTGCCACCAGCCTTGGGTGTCCCTGCTCAAGCACTAGGAGCCGACCCACCTCTTGTTATTCTGCTCATCACCTCCCCACCCCTGGCTTGGCTAGTGTGGTGCTCCTAGCGCACCTTGGCACTGGGTAGGTGCTCAGTTAATGGTTGTCAAATGAATGAATGAACCACGTGCTCTGGGAAGGCTCCTCCCAGGGAACCTGCGGGTTTGCTCGGCTCCAGGCCTCTCCCCCCAAAGCGGAAACTGAGTTGGGGACATCACATCACCGCGCGCCAGTCTAACCAGGGGCTGTTGCAAGCCACAAGCTTCACAAATTGCCAAGAATCCCCCTGCCCACCTGCCGGCCAGGGCGCACCCCTCTCAGAGGGGTGTATGACATCCAGCCCCCGGGAGAGCTCCGTGGACAAGGGGGAGACGACGCCCCCGCGGGGCTGCTCCTCGGGGGGTGGGGTCGCGGGCCATGGCCCCCCGCCCGCCGCCGTCCCGCCTCCCGCCGGCGCTCCCGGCCTTTCCCATCCGGCCCGCGACGCTCCGCCCGCCCCGCCCCACATGACACCGCCTCCGCCGCAAACTTTTTCCACCCCATCCTGTCGCGGCTCGAAAGGAATGGAAAATGGCGGCCTAGGAGCGGAGTTTCCTGGCGGAGCGGCGGCGGCGGCCTGGGCGGCGGGACGCGGGCGGCGGCATGACGCGCTGGGTGCCCACCAAGCGGGAGGAGAAATACGGCGTGGGTGAGCACCTCCCGCGCGCCGCGCTCCGGGCCGGCGGGGCGGGGCGGGGGCGCCCGGGAGCCTGTTGCCGGCGGCCCGGGCGGCGCGGGCGGGACGCGGAGGGGCCGCGGAGGCCGGGAACCCGCGTCCCCGCCCTGCCCGCCTGAGGGTCCGTCTGCGGGCACTGCCCCCTCGGACCCCGGGCGCACGCTGTTCCCGCGCCCGCTCCGGAGCCCGCGCGAGCCGGGCCGGGGACACGCGGGGGTGGGGGGAGGCTTGTGTCACTTCCCGAGGGTGTCCCCTCCGACATCCAGCTCTCGGGCGGGCACCCCGGCGGCGGAGCCTTCCAGCCCCCGGGGCTGTCCCCGACGCCTCGACCCCAGCTGGGCCGGGCCGGGCCGGGCCGGGCCGGGAGGCCCCGGCGGCATTGTTCGGCCGCGCCTTTTTGCTTTTCGGATGAAGTTGTGGTCAGTGTCTGCGGCTCCGGGCGGACAGTTTCAAGTTGCAGCGACCAGAGCGAAGAACTGTGCTCTCCCCCGGTGGGAGGTGGCGTGTGCGACCGGGGCTGGGCGATCGCGCCGCCTGCCGCTCGGTGGTCCTGCCCTGGACGGCGCGGGACCCTCGGAGACCAGCGGCCGAGCGCTCCGGGGTCCCCGGCGCCGGGAGCGGGTTGCGAAGGGCGGGGCCTGTTTTGGCTCCGCTGTTCTTTGTCGCTTCCTGGGGGGAGTAGGGAGGGTCGGCTGCAAGTTTACGTTTCGGACCAAGTACACATTCCAGAGTCGGAGGCTCTCCTTAGTGGCAAAGCAAGCAGCCCCCCAGGCCCCGTGCGCCCTGCCGCCCTCCTGGCGGGGGTTGGTAGCCTGGCCTGCGGAGGCCTGTGGGTGCTTGCCTTCTCTTAACTTGCGCACCGGAGGCTCTGTCTGGGCCCGCGGCGGGTCTCCCCCTCCGCACGGCTTCTCAGTTGGCTTCAGTCCCTCTTTCCTCCTGCTCCGCGATCCAGAGGCGTCCTTGACCACCTCTTCAGCCAGGCTGCACTCTGCCTGACTTGGAAGGCCTTTTGTAGCCTTGGCCTCCCCTCCGAAGCCAGGTGGTGCCCTCCTGGGGTTCCAGACCCGGCGGCCCGCCCCGCCCTGCCCTCCCGACCCTGAGCCTTTGCGGGGAGCAGCCCACTCCCACTGCTGGTGTGGTTCGGCCCTCCCACTTTGGGGAAGCCTGGGTGGTTCTGGTCCCAGGGCTCTCTCTTTTCTTTCTGTGATGCTTCTGTTAGATGCCAGGGACGTAGAGTGGAGCTGGCCTGGACATTGGGACGGTTGTAGGTCCCCTCTGGGACCGCAGGGGCTTGTTGCACAGGTGGCGCTGCTTCAGGACCACTGTGGCTTAATTCCCTTCCCTCCCCTGTTTTAGAGATGAGGCTTCCGAGGCTCAGGCACATCTACAAAGGCCAGTAGCAGAGCTGGACTTCCGAGTGCAGCTGAGTTTGTAAGCAGCGTCCTGTGGCCATTCAGGTGGTTTCAGCCCCGAGAGAAAGGTCCTCATCGATCCACATTGGATGAGGGAGGTTTGGATGTGGAGATTCCTGCTGGATCAACTTCGGGTGTGGGGCGGCATTGGGGGGGGGCGTCTGGGCTGCAGTGAGCCTGCTGGGATGCTGTGTGTGAGGGGAGGGCTGAGGGCAGACCCTCAGGGAACGCAGTGCTTAGAGATGGAAGAGAAGCTGGAGCCCTGGGGAGAGGCGGGGGCCAGGCGGGGGCAGCAGAGCCCAGCACTCCTGCTCAGGACTTGCCCTCTCAGTCCTGTGTGGTGGGGACTGCTGTCCCTCCCACTTCTCAGAGGCAAAGGACAGACTAGCGCCACTAGTAAGTGCTCCATCCTGAAACTGAACCCTGGTGGTGGCTCTGGAGTTCATGGTCACCCCACCGTGCTCACCAGGAGATGGGTGAGGGACCTCTCTTTAAGGTCGCTTTGATACCCTTGGCTCCCAGGGTGACCTGGATGGTGTCAGTGAGAACCCTGGAGGTGTCCATACCTGTGGAGTGACTTGTGTCTCATGACCAAAGGGAACATTCACAAGTAGAGACCCACAAGCAGGGTCTCCCCGCTGGGGAGGCAGCTGTGGGCGTGAACGTGGTTGTGTCCTTCCCACGGTAAGTCACATGCCTTCCAGAAGCTTTGCTAGCACTCACGGCAGTGCCTTCTAACATCACACCTTTGGCTAATACTTTGGTTTTAGGAAAACTCCAAGTTGAAAAGTTTCCAGAGAAGAAGAGTATCCTGGAGGTTTTGGAACAAGTTCTGGGAAGAATGTGAGTGGTGGTCAGGCAGGGGAGATGGGAGGGGGTCGTCCTGCCTAGTTTCACCAGGTGGAGAGGACGAGACAGCACAACTCTTTCAGCAGCAGGAGGAACTTTAAATAACTGGACCCCCTGTCGGGGAGGGCGCGCAGGCCTAGAGCTCGTAGAGTTCCCGATTTGGGGCAGGGGAAGCCTAGGGCGCTTGAGTCAGGCTGCCCTCGTGTCTGGGAGTTTGCCTGGGGAGGATCCCGCTGGTTCTCAGGGAGTGGGCTGGCTAGGAAGATGTAAGTGTTGGATGTAGGGATTCATTTCCACGAGTTTAATTCCTCTTTCTGCCGAAGGAAAAATTACTGGAGATCCCCTTTACCAACCACAGCGTTTTTTGGGGGGAGCCTCACAACAGGACTGTGTTTCCCTAGATGGGCCCTGGTGGGTCTGTGGGCGGCCAGGCTTCCACCCGGCCAGTGACTTGGCCCCTGAATGAATCACCAGGGGAGAGAAAATGGTAAAACTCCATATCATTTGGAAACATGAATCACAGCTCATTGTTTGCAAGTACTTAGAATCTGTTAGAAGCATTGTTTGTAAATGAGACACTTCAGTTATTTATTTACTTTGTGGAATCGGGAAAGGAGTAAACAGCTGATCTGTTGCCTGCTCAGCAAAGGCAGGAAACGGCAGGGGGGGGGGCCCATTCATGGTGCCGGGGATGGGTCACCTGTGAAATTGACCAGCCTGTTAATTTCTCCCCTTGGGCTTGAGTTTGGTGGGTCAGTTTTTACAGACCTGGGTTATTAACACGGACATGAACTTTGACCTAGCTGTCACACTGAGGGGTTGGACCAGATGAACTTTCCCATCATCCCCCAACTAGGCAGAGTCAAAACGTCCCAACACCAGTAAAATTGTGTTCATGGGGATCCTGTTCTTCAGATGAGGTGAAAAGATGCAGCTGTCACATCTGAGGCTGGCGTGCTCACGTCTCAGTGACGGCATAGAAGGCAGAATAACGGCCCCCCAAGTGTCCAGGATGCGTGAATGTGGCGTGTGACACGGCAGAAGGGACTTGGCAGATGAGATCACGGCTGTGAACCCGAGGTGCAGAGATGGTCCCGGGTTAGCCACGTGGGCCCCCAAAGCAGAGGACTTTCTTTGTCTGCTCGCACAAGAGAGATTTGGCAGAAGTGGAGTCAGAGCGATTCCGAGCCTGGGAGGGTTCCATGCCCGGATGCTGGCCCGGAGATGTCGAGGTCCACTTGCTACCAGGCAGAGGCCTCAGGGAGCTGAGGTTGGCCCCAGCTGACAGCCAGCAGGGAAATGGGGACCTCAATCCTGCAATTATAGCTGGATTCTGCCAGCACCCCTGAATAAGCCTGGAAACATTCATCCTTGAGCCTCCTGTGGATTGCAGCCGGCCAGCACCTTGACTTTGAGACCTAGAGCCACTGGGTGTCTGACCTGGAGCACAGTGAGATAATGAATGCAGGTGGTTTTCCACTGCCAAGGGTGTGATGATTTGTTACGGCAGCAATAGAACAGGAATGGAGGTGGTGTGGAGAGCAGCCTGGGCGAGACTACGGTTCTCTTTCCACCCTTTAGCTTTGCTAGAGGCAGATTGAACGAACACCGGTGACCTCAGCGTGCCCTTCACTCTCCACTCCAGGCAAACCTCAAAAAGGGGATGTGGGCACTGGCACCGAGACATCTTTAACTTCTGGCTCTTAATTGTTATGTGGCCCTTGAGCAAGTTATTCCTGCTTTCTTAGCCTCAGTTTCCTCATCTGGAAAGTGGACCCAAGCCTGCCTACTGCAAAGACCGGTGGGGATTCACTGGGATAATGTCCTCAGAGCACAAAGCCCTGAGATCAGCGTTTGCGATAAGCCAGGTACGCCATGGAGCGGTGCTTTTAGTAATTTTTTATTTAATAAAGCTTAGTTTAGAAATGTAGTGACAAGTGATTTCCTGTTTGGATTTGACAGTCACAGTGGCTGGAGGGATGCTTCTCTTCCAAACTTGTTGTCTTAATGGTGTGTTTTGCCCCCATATTAGGGGGATGTGACATCTTGCTTGGTGTTAGGGATTGTGACGTGTGTGTTCAGATTAGCCCTGCGCGATGATAATTGCTAGGAATGGTGTAATATCCAGTAAATTTGGGAGTGTGAGAGTTGCTGAGAGGCCCTCTTTGTTGCTTAGAGTAGCAAGCAAGCTGCTACTTTGGGGGAAGAAAAATTTGATTTGATTGTAAGTAAATAGAAATGCAGACGTTTTCATTCATTGGAGTTGCAGAAAAATGAAATTAAGGCATATTATATTTCTGCAAACCTGATTTTGCTTTGGAAACACTATAAACATTTTAAGTTTATTGTAGTGCCAGTGCTGGCCCAGAATATCAGACGTCTTATCAGGATTGTCTTAGCGGGTGTGAACGGTTCTTTCTCTTGTTCTCTTGTGACCTCGGAGGATGCAGGTCGTCCAGCCGCGGAGAAAGAAACAGGCAGTGTGAGCCCTGTGCTGGGTACAGCTGAGGAGCCGCAGTGCCCGAGGGCATCTGCCATCTCTCTGTCTCTCCTCTCTTTTTCTCTTTCTTCCCTTCTTCCCTTTCCCCCTTGTTCTTTCCTTCGTTCACTCCTTGCTCTCCCTTTTTTCTTCATTAACTTTGAATTTTCAGATAATTACAGACCCAACAGTTGTAAGAAATAGTACAGAGAGACCCTGTGTACCCACTACAG